AAAAGAAAAAAACGGAAATATCACATTTACATAAGTTTTCAGACCCTTTACTCAGTACCTTGTTGAAGCACCTTTGGCAGCGATTACAGCCTTGAGTCTTCTTGGGTATGACGCTACAAGCTTGGCACACTTGTATTTGGGGAGTTTCTCCCATTCTTCTCTGCAGATCCTCTCAAGCTCTGTCAGGTTGTATGGGGAGCGTAGCTGCACAGCTATTTTCAGGTCTCTCCAGAAATGTTGGATCAGGTTCAAGTCCGGGCTCTGGCTGGGCCACTCAAAGACATTCAGAGACTTGTCCCAAAGCCACTCCTGCGTTGTCTTGGCTGTGTGCTTAGGGTCATTGTCCTGTTGGAAGGTGAACCTTCGCCCCAAGTCTGAGGTCCTGAGCGCTCTGGAGCAGGTTTTCATCAAGGATCTCTCTGTACTTTGCTCCGTTCATCTTTCTCTCGATCCTAACTAGTCTCCCAGTCCCTGTCGCTGAAAAACATCCCCACAGCATGATGCTGCCACCACCATGCTTCACTGTAGGGATGGTGCCAGATTTCCTCCAGACGTGACGCTGGCATTCAGGCCAAAGAGTTCAATCTTGGTTTCATCAGACCAGAGAATCTTGTTTCTCATGGTCTGAGAGTCCTTTAGGTGCCTTTTGGCAAACTCCAAGCGGGCTGTCTTGTGCCTTTTACTGAGAAGTGGCTTCCGTGTGGCCACTCTACCATAACGGCTGATTGGTGGAGTGCTGCAGAGATGGTTGTCCTTCTGGAAGGTTCTCCCATCTCCACAGGGGAACTCTGGAGCTCTGTCAGAGTGACCATCGGGTTCTTGGTCACCTCCCTGACCAAGGCCCTTCTGCCCCGATTGCTCAGTTTGGCCGGACAGCCAGCTTTTTCCATTTAAGGATAATGGAGGCCACTGTGTTCTTGGGGACCTTCAATGCTGCAGACATTTTTTGGTACCCTTTCCCAGATCTGTGCCTCGACACAATCCTGTCTTGACGCTCTACGGACAATTTCTTCGACCTCATAGCTTGGTTTTTGCTCTGACATGCACTGTCAACTGTGGGACCTTATATAGATAGGTGTGTGCCTTTCCAAATCATGTCCAATCAATTGAATTTACCACAGGTGGACTCCAATCAAGTGGAAACAGGATGCACCTGAGCTCAGTTTCAAGTCTCATGGGAAAGGGTCTGAATACTTATGTAAATAAGGTATTTCCGTTTTTGTTTTGTAATACATTTGCAAACATTTTTTTAAAATCTGTTTTTGCTTTGTCGTTATGGGGTATTGTGTGTAGATTGATGAGGATTTTTTTTATTCAATCTATTTTAGAATAAGGCTGTACAGCAACAAAATGTGGAAAAGGTGAAGGGGTCTGAATACTTTCCAAATGCACTGTATACTGACTATGTTGTTGCTACGGAGTCTCAAGAGGGACAAAAAGTAATACAATATCGTTTTTCAAGCTAAGGTCTTTTAAGGGAACATGTGAGGAACAGCCGAGTTCTGCTAGGAGCAAACCAAACTTAGAGTTGTACTTTTTTCTGCTGTTCCCTATCTGGTCCATAGGTGGCAGTGCTATCCCTGTGTATTGCATGAGGGAGCCAACCATAGGCCCCCATAAAAGTTTCCTTTCTCCCTTCCTTTAAGTAATCACTGATAAAAACATGACCGGACAGGTTAAAGCCTTGTGGGGAATCAACCCAATGACCTCACTATTAATAATGGCACATAGATCATTCACAATTTCACACAGCCTTATCGGTGTCTTGAGGAAATAAATTGTAGTGACTTAAAACAACATCACTGATATCAGCACAACTATACACCTTTTGTCTGGTGCAGATAGTTGAGAAGAGGAACTAATGCAGGTTGTTGTCTGGTGCAGATAGTTGAGAAGAGGAACTAATACAGGTCGTTTCAGGAGGATGTGAATTTCAGTCCTAGCCTGGTCCCAGATCTGTTTGTGCTGTCTTGCCAACTTGGCAAAGCTGTGTGAATTGTCTATCTGCCACTATGCCACTAACTTTGGGAAGACAGCACAAACACTGCCAACTTGGCAAGACAGCACAAACAGATCTGGGACCAGACTAGTTGACTTATGTAACACAAATACTGGACCAGCAAGAAAATACAATGAGACAAAATAACATAAGAATATTGTCCCAACTGGAAGACGAGGAAAAGGGAGACCTTACCAACTACGTGATCAAGCTGATATCGGAGGAGCATGGCGATCTTTAACGCCCTAGATATATCTGTTTGTTTTTGCTTTGGATGCGTAATCCACCGCATCCGCCAATGTCGCACTTCCGCATCTGCGGTGAAAGGTGGCAGAGCTAGAGCGGTGTTTGTCAGACCATGAGACATCCCGAGAATCAAGGGACTCGTCTGAAAGAGGTACAGTCGATATGCTAACTTTTGTTTGTAGCGTCTGAACCGTTTGGGCTACAAACTAATGTGACACCACTGTGGAAAGAGACATCCCGAAAATTGGTCTTCAAACTAATATGTCCACCCTAGAAAAAGATGAGACTCTCACGAATATGATGGTTTTCTCCATTTTGCTCTAGGACCCCCATAAGTGTCACGGGAAACGTCTGAAGGCAACCGTACTGGTTAAAAAAATTAATGAAAGTATGGAGGTAGTTTTGTGCCTACCACCCAAAAAGGGTTCAGCCACAAGAGCATTAGTGAGGTCGGGCACTGATGTTGGACAATTAGGCCTGGCTCGCAGTCGGCATTCCAATTCATCCCAAAGGTGTTCGATGGGGTTGAGGTCAGGGCTCTGTGCAGACCAATCAAGTTCATTCACTACGATCTCGACAAACAATTTCTGTATGGACCTCGTTTGTGCACAGGGGCATTGTCATGCTGAAACAGGAAAGGGCCTTCCCCAAACTGTTGCCACGAAGTTGGAAGCACAGAATCGTCTAGAATGTCATTGAATGCTATAGTATTAAGATTTCACTTCACTGGAACTAAGGGGCCTTTCGACCATCTTGAATGGCCGTTTCTATTAAAAACTTTGGAATCTCTCAATACTACAGCTGAAATAAGTATGAAAAATGTATGCACTCACTAACTGTAAGTCGCTCTTGATAAGAGCGTCTGCTAAATGACTAAAATGTAAATGTAAATAATACATTTAATAAAAATATTATATAAATGTCCTAAAGCAAAATTATACACAAATAATACATTATCTGATGAAATTGCTTTAGACAGGGGCACAAGACAGGGATGTACCCTCTCCCCCCTTCTGTTTGCACTGGCAATTGAACCGCTTGCAGAAACAATTAGACATGAGCCAAACATAACAGGTATCTGTTTTGGAAAACATGAATATAAACTAAACTTATTTGCAGATCATCTCCTGATATATCTGACCAATATTGAAAACTCAATGCCCCCTTTGCTAAAAATATTTAAAGAATACTCTAAAATCTCAGGATATAAAATTTATATGGATTTCTTTTTTTGTAATGTCAATAGGAAATGTAATAAGTAATGATCTACAGTAATCCTTTAAGTGGACCACACAAAATATGAAATACTTAGGATGCTTAATAAATGACAACAAACAACAAATATATAAAGATAACTTTATTCCATTACTCACCAATATGAAAACAGATCTAATTTAATGGAACAATCTTCCCATAAATCTTACAGGTAGAATAAACCTCTTCAGGATGGCATGGCTCCCAAAGTTTTTGTATTTATTTTCGGTAATACCAATTAGCGAAGACATTTTAAAAAAATGTATACTCGGTCATAACAGACTTTATATGCCCAAATAAAATTCATAGAATAAAAATAACCTTCCAGACTTGGAATTGTATCAACTCGCTTCCCAAGGCTTTTACTTGCGACATATAGTTAAATGCACTAAGGAGGAACAATGGGTACATATTGAAGATGCGCATGCTCATCCCCAGAATATTTTTATGAGTCTATTATCAAAGGACAAAGGTAAGAACATCAACAACTTCATAGATAAGAACACTATAATAATATGGAATAAAATGTAACGTATTCTACAAGAACCAACATCACTACCTAAAAACACAACCTTATAGAACAATCCTTGGATAGTTTTTCAGAATTTACCGATAAATTGGTCCAACTGGAAAACTAAAGGCATAGAAACCTTGCAGAGTAATAGGAAATACAATTATTTCCATGACAGAATTCAAAATACATTTTGGACTGATCAATGTAGACATTTTCAAATACATGCAACATAAAAGTTACATACCACGAAATATCGATTTGAAATCTTTTGGACATCAGAGCAACCTAGAGGGCATTTTATTTGAGTCAGAAAAAGATGTTCATATGATAGGTAAGATATACAGAACCTTGCAGAGAGCCTATCCAACTGACAATCTCTTATAATATAAACTATTGGAACCAAGACCTGCATAAGATCGAGGGAAAGTTGGAGCATAACTAACTAAATTAACGTTAACGAAAATATACGCTTAATCCAGTATAAACTAATGTATAGAATTTATTATACAAGAGACAAAATTCACAAATTCTACAGCACAACGGCAGAGTCATGTCTTAAGTGTAAAATAAACAATGACTCAATAATCCATGCTTTCTAGTAATGCTATGAAGTCCAAAAGTTATGGGCAGAGCTAGAAAGTTTGCTGTCAGAAGTATTACAATGTAAACTTACTTTTAATCTGTCTGTCTGTTATATTATAAGACATGGCATATGGGGGTGTAGTGAGATACCCAATGGGCTGGACGATTCTCTTCTCATCACTCATCTTGAAAAAACGAATACTAAAAACGTGGAAATCAATCAATCCGCCATCATTAACACAATGGAAAAATCGAATGATTTATTATTGAAATATTGAAATAGCATGGGCGACCGAGAAAAACACATTGCTACAATTTAAGGCCATGTGGCAAACAATAATGCAGGCACTAGGGATGGGCATGTGATATGCAGGGCAGATGAGATGTAGTTGTTGTTTGTGTGCATCTGTAACTTGTTGTTCATTTGTATAAGTTTGTATTTGGTGTGGGAATTTATCATTTGTTTATAATAATTATTAATAAAAAAGATTATACAAAAAACAATCTTTAAACATGTTCAGAATGGTTTCCGTAATTTCCCTACTTATGAGGTCAGGAAGACCTCAAAGAGGCTGGCGACCGAGTGCATACGGTAAAAGATTCCGAAGGGGAGTGCGATATTCACAACAGCTGCCCACATGGTGAACTCATAGAACTCTGCTCCGATCGTGTTGTCAAACTGAGGGCGGGCGCCAAACGCCGGCATGATCCAGAGCTGTCATTGGAAACAGAGCAAAGATGTTCAGTACAATCTTTCAACCTAAACATACTAATTACGATCATACTCTAATATGATGTATTGTACTGCACAAATCGCAGGGAGCCCTTTTGGCTCATGGGCAAGTTATGCAAACAGGAGAAAAGTTCATTTAAAGGGATGGTTCAGTAGTTTCAGTTTATTTTCAACGTACCTAGGGTACTTAATAAAAACTGTTTTGGATGAAAGGACAACACCCTAGGTTAACAAGCCCTTTAAAAGGACAGTTGTGGGTACTCAGTAGGCTACTCACAAGGATGTTGCAGAGCAGCAGAAATGAACAGATCTCCTTCAGGGTCCTCCTCTTCCAGGTCAGCCTATGGCGTTGAGGCAGGGGGGAGCCACAAGGAGCAGAAGGAGCAACATGCATACTGCAAACTGTGAGGGCCGGGGACAACTTGGTCTCCATGAACATCCCTGGGAGGTTGTGTATGTCTCTTTGGGCTTGGGCTTGGAGGACGTATGGGTTTGTGAATACGGATGCCTGATGCACGTCTTCGTGGAAAGGCTTGCGATGCAGGCCCTCGATGATGAAGATGTTCTGCAGGCAGAGCTGGATCACAGTGAGCAGGGAGACAGCCAGGTTGAGAACGTTGAGGTGGCCCTTGGCCCCTGTCGCCACCACAGCCACGATGGTGAAATAACAGATGGTGAACTGTCCAATGGAGGCGCCTATCAGCAAGCCTACATCCAGGCTCCGAGTGGGGTTCTTCCCCGACACGTGGTCCCTCTGGTCCAGCCGGTAGATGGCACAACCGGCCACGGTCGAGACGGACATGAGCGTCACAGCCACCGTGTTCATCACGTAGTGTATCATCAGTGCCGTGTCACGTTTCCCCGGGTCCCCCTTCTCCATGTCCACCTCATAGATGACGAAGGTTCCCAGGCCCGCCACCAGCATGACCAGCCCAACCACAGGCCCCACCAGCACGTCCTTCAGGCGGAAATGGAGCGAGTGGTGGTTATGCTCGTCCACCAAGTGGCCCACGTTCTTCCACATGACGTAGGCCATGGCCGAGGCAAACAGGCTGTACTCAATGTTGAAGGGGTACAGGTAGTAGTAGGCCTTCTCTAAGATGGCACAGGCAGAGTGACTGCACTTACAGCTGCTGTATCCGCCAGGGGCTGAAATAAGAGGGAGAAAAGATTTGCTTCATTGTTTGACTCTGTGAGGTGATGTTTTGTTATGTTGGTTTGTTTCTTTTGTATTTCATGGTTGGGGACAATTCTATTTCAATTCAGTAAATATATTTATTTTATTTTATTATTTACACAAGGAATTCCCATTTCAGTTTACATTCTGAATTGAAATTGAATTGACCCCAACCCTTTAGTATTTTACTTAGATTTAGTAGAGAGAAGATTCAACAACACAATATTCTCTACCTCTGATGTCATAGGAACGTGTGCTGTTGCTGTCCTCTGGTGGAACAACAGTCTGGTGTATGGACTCATCTGTGACTGCTGCCATCCACAACACCAGGTTGGTAGACAGAGTCAACATCAGCCCGCAGCTTCAGGAGGGAACACAGGAGTTCAGAACAGAACAGAATACTTTCTATTTTTATATCCTGTTTAATTCTCTAAGAATAGAACAGAATATAATATAATATACTATACTTTATGTTTCCCAAGGGGAATGTTAAAACGTCCAACCATCAATATACAATTTACAACATAAATAAATGATAATAAATTCAGTTATACAGTAGCAGTTAGTTCCGCTCACCGAGTTATGTTCCGTTGTAGTTGTACACAGTCTTTAGCGTGGAGCCAGAGGAAGTATGTCTGAAAAAGATACAATGTTTACTTAGACTTGCATTTTTCCCACCAGCCAAATCCCTCAGGGGTTTCCCTAATATCATATCCCCTAATGGTAGCTCCATTTGAGATGGCAGAACTTGTGTTCTTACCTGGACAAGTATGAATACAGATTGCACGACAGGGAACACTATCTTCACAGCGGAGTCACAGTGCAGGTAGCCTACGTAGTTACCAATCTTAAACACATTCATAATCAGACTGCATATGCCAAACAGCACCAGACCACCTAGAGAAAATAGTACAATGAAATCAAATTAGAAATAATCACACTCATTCAATCACTCACACTTATTCAATAATCACACTTATTCAATAATCACTCACACTTATTCAATAATCACACTCATTCAATCACTCACATTTATTCAATAATCACACTCATTCAATCACTCACACTTATTCAATAATCACACTCATTCAATCACTCACACTTATTCAATAATCACACTCATTCAATCACTCACACTTATTCAATGATCAAACTCATTCAATCACTCACACTTATTCAATAATCACACTCATTCAATCACTCACACTTATTCAATAATCACACTCATTCAATCACTCACACTTATTCAATAATCACACTCATTCAATCACTCACACTTATTCAATAATCACACTCATTCAATCACTCACACTTATTCAATAATCACACTCATTCAATCACTCACACTTATTCAATAATCACACTCCTTCAACACTCATTCAGTCACTCACACTTATTCAATAATCACACTCATTCAATCACTCACACTTATTCAATAATCACACTCATTCAATCACTCACACTTATTCAATAATCACACTCCTTCAAGACAATGGGTGAATGTAAAACTGTATCTAGGTAAATGACATCCTATTAGAATAGAACTCTTCCCCAATCAAAAGAGAGATTATTAATGTCCAGTGATATTAACAGAAAGAGAGATTATTAAAGGGATACTCCGGGATGTTGGCAATGAGGCCCTTTATCTACTTCAATCAATCAATCACATGTATTTATAAAGCCCTTTTTAGATCAGCAGTTGTCACAAAGTGCTTATACAGAAACCCATCTTAAAACCCAAAACAGCAAACAATGCAGATGTAGAAGCACGGTGGCTAGGAAAAACTCCCTAGAAAGGCATGAACCTAGGAAGAAATCTAGAGAGGAACCAGGCACTGAGGGGTGGCCAGTCCTCTTCTGGCTGTGCCGGGTGGAGATTATAAGAGTACATGTCCATTAAGGCCAGATTGTGCTTCAAGATGTTCAAATGTTCATAGATGACCAGCAGGGTCAAATAATAATCACAGTGGTTGTAGAGGGTGCAACAGGTCAGTACCTCAGGAGTAAATGTCGGCTTTTCATAGCCGAGCATTCAGAGGTCGAGACAGCAGGTGCGGTAGAGAGAGAGAGAGAGAGAGAGACAGAGAGAGAGAGCGAGAGAGCGTGAGAGAGAGAGAGAGAGAGAGAAAGAGAGAGAGAGAGAGAGAGAGAGAGAGAGAGAGAGAGAGAGAGAGAGAGAGAGAGAGAGAGAGAGAGAGAGAGAGAGAGAGAGCGTGAGATAGAAAGAGAGAGAGAGAGAGGAGAGAGAGAGAGAGCGAGAGAGAGAGAGAGAGAGAGAGAGAGAGAGAGAGAGAGAGAGAGAGAGGGAGAGCTGAAAGCAGCAGGTCCGGGACAATTACTTCCCCAGAGTCAGATGAACTCGTGGGTACCATGTCCAGTGATTTGAACAGAGAGAGAGATTATTAATGTCCAGTGATTTCTAGGGATTAAAAAACAAAACAATTGGGAACTTTGGAAAGGTTTCTGGAATTTAGCAGCCGTAGACCCAGAAGATCAGAAGAGCATGTGTCTTCTCTTACCCCTGAGCCACACAGGCCCAGCATGGCTATCCTTGTAGAGCACGGCGTGATCTTCCCGGGATGTGTAGATGATGTAGTACAGCATCCAGGCAGTGGTGAGGATGACGAGGAGGATGAGGAAGATCTGCAGGTTGATGGTGTTGATCTTGACGTTGTTGAAGACACTGCCACTGACCAGAGCACAACCTAGGATCAGGACATTGACCATGATGATACTAGAGAGTAGCCAGCTGCGGTTACGGCCCCTCTCCCTCACCGTGACCCCGCTGGTCGAGAGGGTGTTTCTCATTCTGTAAAGGTCTAGTCCACAGTTTGTTTGTGGTTTGTTACAAACCAAGCTTGCTTTCTTCAAAATGTAATATCCTATCCAAAGGTAAAATATCTAATGAGTTCAGAGAGTCTGGCTGTTCTGATCAGAGCTTTGTGAACACCTAACCATCCACTCAAAGGCTGCCTGTAAAAGGATGTCCCTCCTACTCTTAACCCAGCTTCTAACCTAATTTAATCAGCAATGTCAACTCCATCAGTGATATGACACTGTTTATCATCATCAGCAGTGTCAGCCCATTATGCTCCTGTTGTAACGATAGGCCACGAGGGAAGCCATGCGCAATGGGGGGTAATTTACAATTACACATTAACACAGGAACCAGCATCACCCTTCCTGTCCTAGAGTTGGAATGTTGGCCTCATTGTATGACTGGGCCATAAAGGCCACCAGGGACAATAGCTCATCTGTTCACCCCCTTTCTTTACGACTCTGTATGGCCCTGAGGTTGCCAGGAAATAGAAGACAGACGTCTTCGGCAAATCAGCTGACCACCTTGATTATCCCTATAAATTACATGACTTGTTAAGAGATATCAGATCAAGTTTTTTCGAGGCACGGCCACACCCGTTGAATGAATGATCCCATCTCCTTGGAAATAATCCAGGCTCTGTCGTAGCCGGCCGCGACCGGGAGACCCATGGGACAGCGCACAGCGTCGTCCAGGGTAGGGGAGGGAATGGCCGGCAGGGATGTAGCTCAGTTGGTAGAGCATGGCGTTTGCAATGCCAGGGTTGTGGGTTCGATTCCCACGGGGGGCCAGTATGAAAAATAAAAAAATTATGTATGCACTCACTAACTGTAAGTCGCTCTGGATAAGAGCGTCTGCTAAATGACTAAAATGTAAAATGTAAATGAAATAAGAGAGAGAGAGAGAGATGAGTATCGCTCCTTCGGCTGTGCGCTATCTTCGGCCTGCTGGCTTCATCAGCTCTACTGTCGCAAAAGACTTCGACAACGTTTATTGTCTTCGTCCCATACTAGCGGAATCCCACTGAGGCGCCATCGACACACAAGTAAATTATCCTTCTACATTCTTCATTACCTCTGAAAGTGGTGTTGTGTGTGTGTAAATGTGGTGGAAGTCATTAAGAGTTGTAAGATGGCAAGTCTAATTTACTAGCCCATGGTCGACACTGTCCCGGCACTGTCTACAGTGGGTGTTAACTGATAGCCTAGCCCATGATATTTTCCTAGTCGGTGAAACTCTCTATAATTTCATAGTTGTGAAAACCTGTGTTGGTGTAGCCTCTCATATTTCCTTTCCAATTAATAAGACCATATCATCCTCAAAGGTTTTGTGAATGTATTTTGTTGTGTTTGCCTGAGTTGAGTACGAAGCTTATTCATATTGACCTGTGGAACTTCTCACCTCAATGACTGTATTGTATTCCATTAACTATGTGATTTTCCAACGTATTTAGTGTAGTAAATAAAACCTTGAATTAATTATTTGTGGCATTGAGTTAATTTGCTAGCGATTGGTTTCTTGAGGTTTCAGAACTCGACAACTGTCCAGAATGAGAATGTAGTAAATTCACAGCTGATTAAGACTATTGTTGAGATAGGATTAACATACCATACTAAATAGTGTGTCTCAGATTTACAGAATAATACGAAATGCTCTGAGACCAGGTTGCACGAAATACAATTATCTGTAAGGTCCCTCAGTCGAGCAGGGATTTTTTCCAATGCCTCGCAATGAAGGGCAGCTATTGGCAGATAGGAAAAAATAAAATAAAAAAGACGCTGAATATCCCTTTGAGCATGGTGAAGTTATAATTTACTCTTTGGATGGTGTATCAATGCACTCAGTCACTACAAAGTTACAGACTTCCATCCTAACTCAGTTGCCGGATATGAAGGAAACCGCTCAGGGATTTCACCATGAGGCCAATGGTGACTTTAAAACAGTGAAAGAGTTTTAATGTCTGCGATAGGAGAAAACTGAGGATGGATCAACAACATTTTAGTTACTCCACAATACTAACCTTATTGACAGAGTGAAAAGAAGGAAAACTGTACAGAATAAAAAATATTCCAAAACATGCATCCTGTTTCACGATAATCTTCAACCTTTGAGAGGCTGGTTATGGCACACATCTCCATCTTCCTAGACCCACTCCAATTTTCATACAGCCCCAACAGATCCATAGATGACGCAATCTCAATTGCACTCCACACTGCCCTCATCCACCTAGATAAGAGGAATACCATCGATGGGGCTGCAGTGGACCGGGTCGAGAACTTCAAGTTCCTCGGGGTCCAAATCACTAAGGACTTAAAATGGTCCACACACACGCGCACAAGAAGGCAGGCAGAGCGCCTCTTCCCCCTCAGGAAGTATAGAAGGTTTGGCATGGGCCCTCAAATCCTTTACAGCTGCACCATTGAGAGCATCTTGACTGGCTGCATTACTGCTTGGTATGGCAATAGCACCACCCTCGATCGCATGGTGTGGACAGACCAGTACATCACTGGGGCCCAGCTCCCTGCCATCCAGGACCCCTCCATATCAGGCGGTGTGAAAGGAAGGCCCGGCAAGTCGTTAACTACTCCAACCACCTGAGCCATAGACTATTCTTTTACATTTTTAGTAATTTAGCAGACACTCTTATCCAGAGCAACTTACAGTAGTGAGTGCATACATTTTTGGTACTGGTCCCCCGTGGGAATCAAACCCACAACACTGGCATTGCAAGCACCATGCTCTTCCAACTGAGCTACACAGGACATCTCTGTTCTCTCTGCTTCTATCCCCAATAAATAAGACTGCTATATAGCTAACAAAATGGCTACAAAGACTATTTGAGTTGACTATCTGAGTTGACCTTGTATTTCTCCATGCACACAGGGCCCTACACACTCACACACACTGACACTCCAACACACACCCAAACACTCACTACTCCATCATTTGCTCACACACATGCATTTATACTGACTCTAAACACACGCACACCAACTCACATACAACATCATATTCGCTGCTGCTACTCTGTTTATCATATATCATGATGCCTAGTCACCTTACCCAAATACATATCTACCTCTATCAATCCAGTATCCCTGCACATATAGTATGCCTACTTACTTTCTCATATTCCTCTTATTTCTTATTTTGTTCTACCTTATGCTATTTTTAGTACTACATTGTTATTGATTACTGCGTTGTTGGGTTGAGAGCTTGCAAGAAAAGCATTTCACTGTACTTGTGCATGTGACATTAAAACATACAACTTGTTTAATTAATAAAGTAATACTGCAAAACATTTGGCAAAGCAATTAACTATTTGTTCTGAATACAAAGTGTTATGTTTGGGACAAATCCAGTACAACACATTGCTGAGTACCATTCTCCATATTTTCAAGCATTGTGGTGGCTGCATCATGTTATGGGTATGCTTGTAATCGTTAAGGACTGGAGAGTTTTTCAGGATAAAAAAATAAGAGGAATTGAGCTAAGCACAGGCGAAATCCTAGAGGAAAACCTGCTTCAGTCTGCTTTCCACCAGACACTGGGAGATGAATTCACCTTCCAGCAGGATTATAACCTAAAACACAAGGCCAAATCTACACTCCTGAGTGGCAGAGTTACAGTTTTCACCTAAATCTGCTTGAAAATCTATGGCAAGACAGAGCTTGAAGAATTATTTAAAAAATAATGGGCAAATATTGTACAATCCAGGTGTGCAAACCTCTTAGAGACTAACCCAGAAAGACTCACAGCTGTAATCACTGCCAAAGGTGATTCTAACATGTATTGCCTCAGGGGTGTGAATACTCAGGTACATTATTTCATTTTCAATACATTTGCTAACATTTCTAAAAACATGTTTTTACTTTGTCATTATTGGGTATTGTGTTTAGATGGGTGAGATTATTATTATTTTTAATCCATTTTGAATTCAGGCTGTAACACAACAAAATGTGACATTTCTGAAGTATCATATCCACTTTGCAGTACTTTAAAGCTACTTTTTAAATGCTGATAAAAGTCGAATTTAAATAGTATTTGTATCTTTTTACACTTCACTTATTTTTTTACAATCTGTTGACAGGACTTTATTTGATTTAGTTCTCTGTACTTTTAAGATGAACATGTGATTAATTGGGTGTACTTATTTTTTGGGTATTGAGGGAAATATTAGCATATTTATTGTGGAAAAATGTAACTTTTTATTGATTTTGTGTTTCATTTTGCAATATTTTGTGCAAAGTTACATCTATTTTTTCCTCTAACAGGTACACCACCTATCTATATCTAAAACCACCTATCTATATCTAGAAACAGCAATCAATTTCTATAACCACCTATCTATATCTAGAACCACCTATCTATATCTAGAACCACCTATCTATATCTAGAACCACCTATCTATATCTAGAACCACCTATCTATATCTAGAAACACCAATCAATTTCTATAACCACCTATCTATATCTATAACCACCTATCTATATCTATAACCACCTATCTATATCTAGAACCACCTATCTATATCTAGAACCACCTATCTATATCTATAACCACCTATCTATATCTAGAACCACCTATCTATATCTATAACCACCTATCTATATCTAGAACCACCTATCTATATCTAGAACCACCTATCTATATCTATAACCACCTATCTATATCTATAACCACCTATCTACAGTGGGGGAAAAAAAGTATTTAGTCAGCCACCAATTGTGCAAGTTCTCCCACTTAAAAAGATGAGAGAGGCCTGTAATTTTCATCATAGGTACACGTCAACAATGACAGACAAAATGAGAATTTTTTTTCCAGAAAATCACATTGTAGGATTTTTAACGAATTTATTTGCAAATTATGGTGGAAAATAAGTATTTGGTCAATAACAAAAGTTTCTCAATACTTTGTTATATACCCTTTGTTGGCAATGACACAGGTCAAACGTTATCTGTAAGTCTTCACAAGGTTTTCACACACTGTT